CCCTAAACCCAAGCTCTCCGGGAGGTCAGAAGCACACTCCGTGGTGTTGAGCCTTGGGGCTGGTGCAGGTATGGGCTTCGCAGTTGCTGTCTTTTGCCTGTCTTGGTTTGTCGCCGGGTTTAGGGTTCTAGGGTTTCGGGTTTCGGGTTTAGGGCTTAGGGTTTGGGATTGCTTTGACTTTGCACTGTAGGTCTTGGGGAGCGTGGGAGGTAACGACCCCTAAGTGCAATCTTTTTTTGCCTAGCTCGCGGCGAGAACGAAAAAAGCTAGCGTTGTGCCATTGTTGTCTTGTCCCTTGCCTTGCGGCTAGAGTTGAGGGGTTCATCCTCCGCACTCGCCGGGTCAAGCAATATTCAATAACCGGAACGAAAGAGGGAAGATGCTCCGCAAGCAATGACATTGAACAGCGACACTCTTCCCTGCCCCCGCTGGTCTCCTGTGTCGTCCCTGGGTTGTGTGTGCTCATAATATGTCTTGGCCGCACGGCCTAGATTAGCTCGCCAGCGTGAGCTGGTTCCTTTGTACTCCTTATCTCTGACACGTGCCTGTTTATGCGTGAATTTCTGCCAAGATTGTATGCATCATGTGTTTTGGATGGCTCTTGGATCTAGATCGAGGTTTATATGAGCTCATGTTTGTAACCTAAATCCTAAACCCAAAACCCAAAACCCCTAAACCCTAAACCCTAAACCCTAAACCCTAAACCTACATCTTTTTCTCTCTATCGCTTGCTGCGGCTACCTCTTTGGATCGAAATCGCGGTCTCTGCGAGCACATGTTTTGTAAGTCTTTTTCTCTCAACATCTGCCCTTGCATGTGTGTATTCCTGTCAATGGGTATTTTCCTGTCAATACGAACCTCTGGCCGGATATCTTGTGATGCTATCAATACTGACCCCCCCCCCCCGACACTTCGAATCGTGTTGATGTCTTTCTTTGTTCTTTCCATCTTTCTGTCTTTCTCCCTAAACCCTAAACCCTAAACCCTAAACCCTAAACCCTCAACCCTAAACCCCCCGCGCTCTCGGCGCGAACCCACCTTGTGGAGCGAAAGGAACTGGTGGGGGGATCTGATATCGTTCATCCCCCATATCCCCTATGATGGGACCAAGTGTCATCCCTCACCAGTAGGCTCTCTCTCTCTCTCTCTCTCTCTCTCTCTCTCTCTCTCTTTATTTTCAAAAAGAAAAACAAAAAGACAGAGAGAGAGAGAGAGAGAGAGAGAGAGAGCGATTGATACAAGCAATACTGCGCGACGATCGGGGTGTTGTGACTCTTTCTGTCTGAGCCTGACTGTTTAGGGTTTAGGACAATCGACATCACCTGCTGCTTATTCTTGAGTCAGTAAGTTCTTTTCATTGGAACTGAAAAGCCTGCCGAAGGAACATCCTGGGCACCATTCTCAGTTTCGCCACCACTGATTCCCACTATTTCCGCCTCCGCCTCTTTCTTGCATCACTTCCAGCATGAAGACTAGATTTCTGAGAGCCGGGTGGAACGCAGGGTGTTTCCTGTATGTTCATCAGAGTAGGCTCGTGTACATCCGATCACATCCCCAACCTTTAAAGTCGCGATTCTTGGGACCATCCTTTCGCGCCAAAGCCCCACATTACGGGCCCAGGCCCCCACACCCCTAAACCCTAAACCCTAAACCCAAACCCTAAACCCTATTGGGACGTACTGGCACCTGTTGCGACAGCAAGGGCCAAGGTTGCCACCATGACGGCAGCTCCATCAACACGTGCCGAGGCGGCCCGTCGCCTTGAGCATGGGGGCTTCTGTAGGGTTTAGGGTTTAGGGTTTAGGGTTTAGGGCTTAGGGTTTAGGGTTTAGGGTTTAGGGTTTAGGGGTTCTCACAAACCCCACCCTGCCCTCGAAACGCGTGATGTCATCAACCCTAAGCCCGTTTTTTGAACCCAGGCTCAATCCTGTCCAGCTGGGAAGTCAGTCACACCCGTGCTCTGCACAAGGCGCAACGACTGAACTTTGACATCTCCAATTTGAAGTGGTACCACACATGACAGCAGAGGCTTCATGAACTAAGCATGGCATACAATGAGTCAAATTAAGTAAGTTTCCAAGGGCACCTGCGCTGTATCGGCAAACCTCTGGAGGCGTTCTTTCTGCGTTGTTGTTTCCTAGCCAACCTCAAGGGAGCCCTAAACCCTAAACCCTAAACCCTAAGCCCTAAGAGAAATCACAGAATTGTAAGTTCCACATCGCTGCCTCGTCGAAGGCTGAGTGATGACAGCGCATCGAAGGACCTGAGCCGATCATTGCTTATGTGAAGTTTAGGGTTTAGGGTTTAGGGTTTAGGGTTTAGGGCTTAGGGCTTCGGGTTTAGGGTTTAGGGTGGGTAAGTTGACTCGTCATAGGCCGTGGCCGAGACCACAGAATATATTTCGAATAGGGTTTTTTTCTTGGGGGGGGGGGGGGGTCTTGCTTGATTTTCAAGGGAATCTCTCTCTCTCTCTCTCTCCCTGCCGCGCCATCCCCTATGCAAGGACACGAAAGGTAGGCTAGGACCATAAGGGAATACTGTTTGTAATTATTCTGACCCCTGTATTCGACCACACCATGTCTTGGCTGTTGCTTGCCCTATAGCCCCGATCCTCTACCCGAAGATGCGGACGCCTCGAAGACCCCATCCTCAAGCGGCAAGTGACACCAACAAATTCTACGTGAAAGCTACGCAAGACTCACGGCAACACCCTTTATAGCAAAACCTGGCGCGAAAACAATGTTCACGCAACTCTAAACCGTTTTTAACCCAGGACAGCTGAGGCTCCCTAAACCCTAAACCCTAAACCCTTGTTGCGAGCCCAGGTGCTCATCTGCCCGCAAGTTGCCAAGTGCCCGCAGGCCTACGTCGACGCCACCGACACCATGCCGAGCTCGGCACGGCCTCGAGGAAACGACTGGAGGCCATGTTGGTAGGGTTTAGGGTTTAGGGTTTAGGGTTTAGGGTTTAGGGTTTAGGGTTTAGGGTTTAGGGTTTAGGGTTTAGGGTTTAGGGTTTAGGGTTTAGGGTTTAGGGTTTAGGGGTTAGGGGTTAGGGTTTAGGGTTTAGGGTTTAGGGTTTAGGGTTTAGGGTTAGGGTTTAGGGTTTAGGGCTCAGGGCTCAGGGTTGGGATGTTCCCCCTTATACAGTCCTTAATTGGGATTATAGTACCCCAAAAGAGAAACCCTTCAAAAAAAGCACGGTCCAAAACTGGGGCCCCGGCTGCCGAGGACCACGCATCGCGCCAAGCTCCAGACGTGAAGCCTGGGGGTTCGAAGTGTTCGATGGGGTTTAGGGTTTAGGGTTTAGGGTTTAGGGTTTAGGGTTTAGGGTTTCAGGTTTAGGGCTTAGCGGTTACCTGTCTATACTCCCCTGAAGAACCTTCATAAAAAATATGCTTGTTACTCCCCTTGGGTTTAATTCAAAGAAACATAAAGAGTTTGTAAGGGGGCTATAGCTGTGGGCTTGTTAGGGTTGGGGCTTAAGGGCTTGCACAAGGTTTTGCAGGCACGTGGCGTCTGTGGTCTTTGGCTTAGTACAAGCGCTTTGTGCTCTTTGATCCTGTAGGTTTTTTTGGGGCGGCTGGGCGTGTAAGATTTTCAAGGCAGTCATTGAGGGGTTGAAGATGTGCATGAGGGGGAAGCCTTGGGGCTCAACACCCGAGAAAGAATTCGAGTCTCACGCTCGGCCCACAAACTAAGAGAACACAAGAAGCCCAAGCCTCTAAGGATTTCTGCAGCGGCTCGCGTGTTTCGCCCTGCGCGGGGCGGCAGTGAAAGGGAAGAGAGATGTAGAGAGGGTGGACAGGTAGCTTATAGGAGCATCAGAACTCTGAAATTGCTCTGTTCAGCCGCCAGTCCAACCCCCCTAAGCCCTAAACCCTAAACCCGAAACCCTAAACCGACCTCCGATAAAGTGAGCCCTCGACTCTACACACGAGCGAGGACCTTTGGGGTGTTCAGTGCTGTGCAACCCTCGGCCCACGTTCTGGGCACAAGCCTTGCGGTTTTAGACAGGCGCAAGGGGATGTCTGGGAATGCTGTGTCTGCTTCACTTTTGACCACCAAACTCACTCTACAAGGAAACGTCTGGGATCTTACTGCTGTCTGGCTTTTAACTCCTAGCACTGCTCAACCCCTGAATCCAAAGCCGCTCAGGAATGGCTGCTGCATGGAAACATGCAGAACCATCGCCCGGCCTCATCAAAAGGTTGCGGGCTTTAGGCTTAAAATCCCTTCTCCCTAATAGTAACCCCCCCCATAATATTGAATACTCCCATTTTTGTAATATTATAGTTGTTTGGGGATATTTAATATCAGGGGGTAAGGGGGGTTTAATGTCAGTGCTCCTAGTCTCGAAGTCTCGGTGGGCTTTTGGGATGCAGGGTTTGGGGTTTCAGGGTTCGGCTTCGAAACATCTTGAAACCACACGCGCAGGCTTAGGGTTTAGGGTTTAGGGTTTGGGGTTTGGGGTTTGGGGTTTAGGGCTTTTTCAGGATGTGTCTGCCTGGCATGTTAAAATCGATGCTGCGCGCCTGGCCGCGTCAAGGGGGTGCGCTTTGGCACGCTGGAGCGGGTGTGTCTCGCATCTTTTCAGGGAGCGCCTTCAGCACAACCCCTGCGCAGACACCGAAGGATTCTCGTCGCACATGTCGCCAGTCCGCGCCGCAGGCGAGGCTTAACACGAGGAGGACAACAGCACAGCGTAGCCGCTACGGTGCAGCCCTAACCCTCAACCCCAACCCACGACTGCCACATTCTCGCCGGATGAGGTGTGAGACGCACCCGAGAGACTATGCACAGATGGTTGGAGATCGATTGGCAGGTGTTGCAGGCCTAGACGGCGTATTACGGCGTAGCTCCATCTGCGTTTAATGGAACGCTGACAATATAGACTTAAAACTAACTATCGGCAAGCCTTGAAGCCAACTTGTACCACCTGGCACAAAAAAATCAAAGGGAGCCTCTTTGCTGGACCAAAAAAGAGAACTTGCCCCACCCTCAGCGGGCAAGGGACTTTTGCCCTTCCTCGAGCTCGTAACCGCTGTCGCCCACCTTCAGGATGTTGTCACCTGGAGATTCTCGTGCTTCCCTCGCACTCGAGGCTGTTAGAGGCTTCGGGTCTGGGGTTTCACTATTAAACCCTAAACCCTAAACCCTAAACCCTAAACCCTAAACCCTAAACCCTAAACCCTAAACCCTAAACCCTAAACCCTAAACCCTATGTTTTCACTGCTCTTGGGGTTTGGGGTCTGCAGCATCCCAATTCACACTCTTGGGGGAGGTGTCCCCCGGCAGAACTATCAACCCCGGAGTTGAAACCCCGATACCCACACACCTCAGCTCCGCTAGGTTTAGGGTTTAGGGTTTAGGGTTTAGGGTTTAGGGTTTAGGGTTTAGGGTTCAGGGTTCAGGGTTTAGGGTTTAGGGTTTAGTCATGCATGAAGCCCAAGCTGATCCTTACGGGTATAGCTTGGGATGTTCCCCCTTATACTACCAAGTCCTTAATAGTAATAGGGATTCTACTAGGTGGTACCATAATCCCTGTTGAGGACTGCTAGTCTAAGGGGGAACATCCAAGTGTATAGCAGAGACCTCAAGCCACTTCCGCATGGCCCGACCCTCCATTAAACGGCAGAACCCTGCCTAAACGCTGCCGCGCGAAGAAAGTCTGGCGGCTGCCTGCCGAGTCTAGGGTTTAGGGTTTAGGGTTTAGGGTTTAGAGTTTAGGGACAGCCTTGAACCGGTTAACGTTTGGGGGGACCTTCTTGTCAGCGAGTAGATAGTCATTCCAAACTCGCCTCACCTCCAGATGTACCCCAGAACCACCCCGAACTGGAAAAAAAACAGCCACAAGCTAGAAGTACGTCACCCCCCCATCGTTTGGCAGCTAAACCCTAAACCCTAAACCCTAAACCCTAAACCCTAAACCCTAAGCCCTAAACCCTAAACCCTAAACCCCTAAACCCTAAACCCTAAACCCTAAACCCTAAACCCCTAACCCCTAAACCCTAAACCCTAAACCCTAAACCCTAAACCCTAGGGTGATGGAAAACGATGGGGGGTGGAGGTAGAAGTAGAGTTCTTGAGGATCAAGCGCGAAGTCCCATGTGCGTTTCGGCAGGGCCTTCGACTGGGTAGCCGTGGCGCTTCCATGCGTTGAGACCACGCCTCCGCCACCGCAGTTCCGAACATGCAGGGTCTCGGGCTCAAAAGGGTTAGGGTTTATAGGGTTGAGGGTTGAGGGTTTGGGCCTTGAGGTCTCTGATTTCGCCCCTCTGTTCAGAATTCAGGAGACAAACGTTCCTAACCAGGCTTCACACTCGGAGTCCAGAAAGCAGGGTTTGGGTTTCGGGTTTCGGGTTAATCCAAGTCGGTCGTCAACCGACCCTATGATTGCAACTCCCGCAAGCATCCCCTGTCGCGGTTCCACCTTTGAGAGCCTTGGCTCCTCTGAACCAAGTTGGGTGTTTCCAAAATAGGGGACCCCCGCAAAAAGACCCCGAATAGTAGGATCCCCTTACAACAAAGACCCCAATCCTAAACCCTAAACCCTAAACCCTAAACCCTAAACCCTAATATCGGAACCCCCCACTTGACGAAAGTGGCGACATTTTCGGGCTCCACCCCCCGCAACGAACCGAGACCTGAAAGCAACTCGACCTCTACTTAGGTTTAGGGTTTAGGGTTTAGGGTTTAGGGTTTAGGGTTTAGGGTTTAGGGTTTAGGGTTTAGGGTTTAGGGTTTAGGGTTTAGGGTTTAGGGTTTAGGGTTTAGGCTTTCAGGGTTTCAGGGTTTCAGGGTTTCAGGGTTTAGGGTGTTTAGGTCTTAGGGTTTAGGGGCTAGGGTTCAGCCCCCCCAACTCCAAGGACTCCAATCCGCCTGCACCCCGCAACCCCCACAACCAAAGACCGTGCCAGAACCCCCAACCAGAATGAGAGCACTACCACTTCACCCCATTCCCCCCCCTCCACCCCACGCCGTGCCCGCACGCCCGGGACCCGAAACCCAAACGGTCCAACCGAGCTGGCGCCTCAGCCTCCGCACCTGGTGCCTCGGTTGCTTCGGCTTCTTGGGTGCTTCTGCGCCTAAGATGCCTTTTCTATTTGCTTAAGAACCCCCAAAAAGTATTCATCCATATCAAAGGCAATATAGGATCAGTTTTTTTTTTTAGGGGGGGGGGGTCTTAAGCAAATGGTGGTCTTGTGTCAGACCCAGATGCGTGCGCAGGAAGTAGCCCAGTGTCGTAGCCACCTTGTCGGTCTTATCCTTAACCCTAAACTTGCCCCCCTTTTGCAACAGGCTGCTAAACCCTAAACCCTAAACCCTAAACTCGAAACCCTAAACCCTAAACCCTGAACCCTGAACCCTAAACCAAACCCTAAACTCCCAAACACCTCAAGTTCCTTAAGTTCGACCACAGGCTAGACCACATTAGCCCTCGACTTTCCTGCGGGCTTCTGTACCCAATTTCGACAGGACGGAGCCAGGAGATTCAAGGAAACACTTAGCAATCGACAGTTTCGGGCTTAGGGCTTAGGGTTTAGGGTTACTTTTGATGATCTCGGAGGCATTCTGAACGATTTCACATGATGCCTGAAGCATACAGAAATTTGATTGCACTTGCTCGTAGCAGAAGAAGCAGTTCACATGGAACATCTTCACGTGGGGTGCGGGCGGGGTGGAGGTTGAATTTAAACCCTAAACCCTGAACCCTGAACCCTGAACCCTAAACCCTAAACCCTAAACCCTAAACCCTAAACCCTAGGTTATGCCGAGCCTGCCCACATCGGCTGAGTTGGCTGCCATTGTCGCTATAGACGATGACCTCAGGGTTTAGGGTTTAGGGTTTAGGGTTTAGCTTGCTGTGCAAGCCAAACAAGCCGAGGGCCCAGCCTTCTGGAGTCATGTAGGGGACTAAATAAGTAAGACAAGGCTTTGGGGGTTACTATAGCATATCTATATCAGGACCATATAAGGGAATACGATTCGTCATTCTTCCGACCCCTGAATTAGGGCTTGCAGCTGCTTAACAATCTAGGACGACCCCCCCGGGACGATTCAATGAACAAATGCGGTGGCCTGCACGTTTTCTGCGAACGTTAACCCGTTAAACCAAGCTTTCGTTCACAATGGCGGAGTCCAGGAAGTACGCAACATTGGCATGAAGCGTGACGTCCGTCCACTCTGCCCGTTTCCTCTTGTGTGCCACATGGGCGGCTGTGCAGGCGGAAACACCTCAGGCGGATTCGCCCAGTGCGCCGAGCGCCGACTCGCCGCTGCGCTGGGCCGAGTACATGGACTCTAAACCCTAAACCCTAAACCCTAAACCCTAAACCCTAAACCCTAAAGGTGTTCCTACATGTGGTTGAAGCCCTAGACTCCCCAGAAGAGTTCCCGCAGTGCCAGTGCTCTTGTTCTGAAGAGTACCTCCGCTATCTCTGCGTACGAGCTTTGCATCGAACTCTGCATACTATTGAGCTTGTTCTGCTGTTGCTGTAGCAGAGATTTGCCTTATCCTGTTTGTGTTGCTTGGTTGTGGCCGTATGACAGCTGCTTGTTGCCTCTTGTTGCTATTGCTGCCCCGACTGATTACTACTAAGCTTTCGCGGCTGTACTGTAGTGTAGATGTGCCCCTTTTTCTGGTTACTGCTTGCTGCTTCGTCGTCGCCAAATACTGAAGGTTGTCGCCCCTATCTGACTTGCGTTGGCTAATGGTCTGAAAATTGTGTGGTATTGCTGTGGTGGAGGCTTGCCCGTCCTCTTTGTGCTGGTTGTTTGTAGGTGTGTCGTTGTTGCGGCTCTGCAATACTTTTGAGATTTTGCCATGGTTGTCTAGATCTTCTTTTGTTCGCTGATGGTCTGGGCACTGTTTGCTGCAAATCCCGTTACTGTACTGCAGATTTACTTGTCCCTACCCTGTTTGTGTTGGTTCGCTGTTGCCATTATTGCCCCGATTGCTTTTGCTGGCTGATTCTTCTGCCTTATTTCTGCAGATCTGCCCCTATCCTGCTCGTGCTGATTGGTTGCAGCTGCTTCACAGTTACCGTATCGATGCTGTTGCCCTTGGTGCCCTAAAGGTCGGGGCGTGTTGCTGCTGCGGGGGAGAGTTGTGCTACATGCCAGTATATTTCAGATCTGATGGTAAAGCGTCCGCCGCTTCGTCTGTAGTGTAGATGTGCATCTGTCCTGTTTGCCCCTGCGGTTGGTTCTGGCTGGTGCGTTGTTACCGGAGCGCAGTTGTTGGTGTTGTTGCCCCGCTCCGTTTGAACTGGTTGGTGGCTGCTATCGGCGCCCAATCTTCTTCGTGTGGGCCGTAGTGTAGAGTTGCCCCTGTTTTTGCCGTGTTGCAGGTGTTTGTGTTTGGCTGTGGTTGGCTGTATTGCCTTCGTATTTGCCGTGTTGCAGGTGTTGCTTGACACCATATTGCTTGTAGTTGCTTTTGGTTCTGCTCCACTAGCGTTCGTAGACTTGGCTATGGCCGTTTCGTTGTCGCCATGTTGCAGCTGTTGCTGCCGTTAGCCGTCTCTTGTTTGGCTGCGTTGATCCTTGAAGGATTGTGTCAGTGCGATCCGTTCCACTGCGGTGTAGGGGAGAGTTGCCCATGTCCTGTTTTGGTTGGCTGCCTGTGGCTACTTCGCGTCGCTGAACTGAAGCTGTTGCTGTGGTTGTTCCCATCTTCGTACTGGCTGGTGGCTTTTGCTGCTGAAGTGCGAAGGTGCCCCTAGCAACGGTTGTGCTGTTGGGTGTAGAGCGCTGTCGCTGTTGTTGCTGCTCCTGATCCTATCTCGTCTATGATGGCCGCAGTGCAGATTTGGTCCTAGCATTTGTTCTTGCGCATCGGTGCCTTCTGGTCCTAAGAGTCAGGTTCAGAAACGACTGTGGGTCGTGAGGCTAAGTCATGTGAGACCCTGTACCCCTGAAAAATAGCGCGTTGCATATCCCAGGAATAAAACGAGAATACTCTTTTTGGCTACTTTTTGTTTAAAGGGGCCTATAAGGGAAGCGAAACCCACCCTAAACCCTAAACCCTAAACCCTAAACCCTACACCCTACACCCTAAACCCTAAACCCTAAACCCAGGGAATACGGGCCCACCCTAGGTCCCAGGCTTCATTTCCCTCATATGTGCGCGGAAAGCACCTTCTGAACCATCCTGAGGCCCCCACCATCTTAGAGGGGTACTTCTCGAGTTGCTTGAACTCCTCGCGCAGGCCATTGGGGAAGGCTTGGTAGGGTTTAGGGTTTAGGGTTTAGGGTTTAGGGTTTAGGGTTTAGGGTTTAGGGTTTAGGGTTTAGGGTTTGGGGCCCAGCACCTATATTGTCATAATACGGGCACCCTTTTTAAAGTTGGTTTGGAAGGGGACCCAGAAACCAAAAAAAGAGTGAATGGTACCATGGGGCTACCAAGTTGGGTTGGGACACGTTGGGACTTCTGCGCATGTCACCTTCTGACCGGAGGTGTGACATCGCATCCGGCTCTCCAAGTACATCGACCTACGTCAGGAAATCAAAGAAGGGTTTAGGGTTTAGGCTAAAGGGTCTCGGTACTTTGGCGGCTGAAGAAGCTAAGCTGGAAGGACGAACTATAGCCCAAGGGGAGGGTCAGGTCCGTGCGCGCCTCTGTTCCCCTCACCAAGTTCGCAAATCCCCAGCTTATGTTCATCGCATTCTCGATGCGGCTCGTGTCGTACTCGTCACCATCACGGACGTCCACGAAAATTGCAGCGTCCTTAAACATCCTCAAACCCTCTATACATGGTTTCATCGCTCACACTCGGACAAGACAGGCGAGACACACACGATCCGGAGTCCTTCACCTGAAGCCCAGTGTAGGCACAAGGTGACATGGAACAAATGCTCAGAGGGATGGTGACACACGTTACTTCGGCTTGGCAGTCCATCACATGCCTATAAATGGTTTTTTGCCACCCGCCACCATAAATGGCTTAGGGTTCAGGGCTGAATAAAGTTGAGCCCGAGTTCTCCCCACAGCGAAAAAAACACAACAAAGACATTCGGTGGCTGGCTCGGACACATTCTTAACTATGGGCCATGGGCAGCATGCTAAAACTCAAGCTCGGGTATCATCTCCGAACTAGGGTAAAGAATCCCCGGGCCCTAGCCTAGGTATAGGCCTTGGCTTAACCTCAGAGCCGGAAAAACCCAGACCCCCAATAAGATGCCAACAACCTCTGCGTCTTCTTGCTGACAAAAAGCGGTGTCCCAAAGCACTTTGGCCGTCTCGGGACTTACCCATGTCTTGTCACTGCCATCGTACCTTCGCAATATGGCTTGGAGAGCTTGGGGGGGCTTGAAGGGTTGAAAGGGCCAAGGGTTCAAGACACCTCTTTGGCGAAACTAGTCGTCAGTGTACACTAGCCCACCAAGAGTGTCAACCAAAATAACCAAGAAGACGTAAGACGCCCTGCCATACCGTGCCATACCCTGTTTAGGGTTTAGGGTTTAGGGTTTAGGGTCTAGGGTCGCCCTCTAGGAGCAAAACAAGATGTCTGCCTTAAGCCAGTTGTGACCAGTTGTGACCAGTTGCTTTCCAAGGGCTTCGAGCAGCTCGCTCTGCTCATGCAGCACTCGCTCAGATTCGTCGACGTTGTCTTGCATGAAGACGGCCGCAACCACACCACCAATTCCTTGCACAGAATGTGCTGCTGCAGGTGTGGCTGCAAAACAGCTTAGGTTCTTGCGCCTTCTGACATGTCAGGGATCCTTTGAAACACGCATACATGAAGCTCGGATCCTCCAAGCGCGAGGTCTAGGTTGAAGGAACGTGCGGGTGAAATTGCCTAGTGCTGCCCCTCTTGCTCCTGTAGATCGCGTAGCTTGTGGAAAAAGCTCTGGTCAAGGGTGAACCACAAGAAGCAAGCAAGCCTGTAGTATATGTGTGTGTGAAAACTGTTTTGATCATCTTTCCTCACTCTCTCTCTCTTCTCTCTCTCTCTCTCTCTCTCTCTCTCTCCTGCACGCATAGCGCCCCTCGAAGGGAAGGCTGCCCCTCTCTCTCTCTCTCTCTCTCTCTCTCTCTCTCTCGCGGGCAACCTTTTGAAACCAACAAAAAAATGTAAATATGGCACCATGGCTCCACCATTTTCGTCCTCAGCTGCGCTGCTGCCGGACTTCAGGACACTTTGCCGCAGAGTTGCTTCACTCGCCCTCAAAAAGCACAATCCCACCACGGAGCAGCAGCAACTTTGCTGAATCGAAACCTTCCTAAACCCTAAACCCTAAACCCTAAACCCTAAACCCTAAGCCCAAGGCTCGAAGAAGCCAAAACCAGGAAAGCCCCAGCTGTGGCTTGTGCTTCCTTCACAGGGCCGATAACCCTAAACCCTAAACCCTAAGCCCCCTAAAACCCCCCAAACCCCCCCCCCCCCCTAATTCACGCCGTGAGGTTGGAATTCTGGAGTGAAGAATCTTCAGCAAGGTGGCAGGGTCACGCTCGCCCGAGGTCAAGGCCCTGCAGCCCTTACTCAGTTGTCCAGTACTTTAGGGTTTAGGGTTTAGGGTGTAGGGTTTAGGGTTTAGGGTTTAGGACCTAGGGGTTTTGAAGGTTAACCTTTTGGGAATATAAGGGGAATGTATTAACCCAAAAAGGTTAAAGTTTACCTACTCTACTACTAAGCTGCAAAGGCCCCCTCCGCAAAGCTCAAAACCTCTGCTTGTTTTGGGCCTCATCCTCACTGCAAAGTTTCAGTACTGCAGGCAGGACTTTTCTTGTAGGCTTTGTTTAGACTCTTGACCTGAAGGCCTGGCTAAACCCGAAACCCTGAACCCTAATGCACTCTCGCGACTGGTCTGTGCCATGTTTGGGATCTTCGACTCTCACGACTCGGACTTGGGCAGGTGCAATGCCCGCAAGTCCAAATGTTCGGAGCTTACCTGAACCACTAGCCAATCAACTTACGGGATTTGAAACATTAATTTGGGGTTCAACGAATGACTCCCAGAAGTCTGCACAGCCGAATTACACCCGAAAATCCGACTGTTCTGACGGAACTGTCCCATGTTCTGCCGCACCTTTTCTGGTTTCGCCGCCCGCGCGGCCCTGCGCGCGCAAAAGCGCGCGCCGCTGCCTGGAGGCAAACAGAACTCCGAAGCTTGCGTGGTTCTTTTCGCGCCCTCGCCATTCTCGCTACATGATCACGAAGAAACCCTCCAAAAAACACCCACGGCCTCCCACAATTTGGGCTCTATTCCTATAACCCTGAACCCTAAACCTTAAACCCTAGACCCCAAACCGGCCATCATTTTCAAGCCTCCAGCTTTTCCATCCTGCAACCTTTAGAATGAAGCCCTCCAATCAGCCCTCAATGATGACTCCGGGGGGCGCAGCAGGATCAACGATAACTGCGAAAGCATCGAAGAGCTTTCCTCAGGCAAGAGGGGGTGAGTGTAAACAATCAGAAGATCCCTAAACCCTAAACCCTAAACCCTAAACCCTAAACCCTAAACCCTAAACCCTAAACCCTGAACCCTGAACCCTAAACCCTAAACCCGAAGTGAGGATTCGGGGCCTCTGGAACCGAAGACGTTGATACACCTGGAAATTGCCGAACATAAACACATCCCCATCATGTGAAAGGGTTTAGGGTTTAGGGTTTAGGGTTTAGGGTTTAGGGTTTAGGGTTTAGGGTGTAGTCAAAAGACTACTGGGAAGGTGGACTTGTGCGGAATAGCTTGGGATGTCCCCCCTTCTACGTAACAGTCCCTAATCGGGATTATAACAGGGGGAATTATACTCCCCATTAAGGACTGCTAGTATAAGGGGGTACATCCCAAAGAATAACAGTTGAGTACTCCAAGTCCAGCAGTGGCGCGGAAGGCGTCTGTGGCTCCTTCTTGTCTGTTCTTGTCTGGGTGAACCAGAAGCAGGAGCTGCTTGTACCTCGTATTAGCTCCCTGGTGTGCTTTCGTGTGAACATGTGAGCATGTGAGCATATCGCTTCTCTACTTGCCGAGGCCCTTTTCTCTTCTGCATCCCACAAGCCCATGCCCCGTGACTCTTCATAAGTCTTTCTGGCCAAGAAATATTCAGCTCAAGTGACTGCTGTCGAGCTTGACTCTCGCTGATCGCCTCGGGACACCAAGACAAAGAGCATGCTCATCCCACATCCAGCACTACCATTTAGGATCTCTCTCCACTTCACAGCCTTCCCAAAACACGCGGATTTCTACCAAGGGCTGCATTCCTACACAATTCCGTCGGGAGGCTTTCAAGACCGCATGATGCTCGCAGCTCTCGGGACTAGATGGATGCCGGACACGCACGTGGCTACATGTGGCTATGAGGCGTTTGCGTATGGGCCCATAGGAATATAAAGCACATCGTTGGCCCATGGCTGGCCGATTCATTGCCCATCAGAACTACGCTGAGTCATGCACGGCAACAAGAGTGGAAGTCAGCACTTCAGCTCAGCTCAAGCTATGAGACTACAGGAATAAGTCGTAGCGATAGTATAGTAATTGTGATAACCAAAGGAATGATCTAAGTCATTCTAGCAATGATCACAGAAAAAAAACTCATAGCTAAACAAAACTGAAAGGCTGAAAACCTAAACCCTAAACCCTAAACCCTAAAACCCTGAAACCCTAAACCCTAAACCTTGAAACCCTCCACCTCCAGGGGCAGCAGCATTGTCTCGAAGACATCGGCGGCTTCTGCGATCCATTCCTTGGTTGAATAGGGTTTAGGCGGTTTAAGGGTTATAGGTTTAGGGTTTAGGGTTTCGGGTTTAGGGCTTAGGGTGTAGGGAGATCAGCCTTTCTTCGTCAGCGTCAAGACAAGTGCCCGTTAAGCCGATACCATTTCCCTGTGCTTCAACTTCTGAGAAGCTGGAGACGCAGACAGGCTTCGAAATTCACGATTCGATGGCTAGCCCTCGACCCTTACGAAAGCTGTTGCCGACAATGCACACATGGAACTGTGACTGCTTTCAAGGGAATATTACCGGCGAACAACGAAAAAGTCATCATGACAACGAAAGACAAGATGTGACCTATGGATGCCCGCCGGTTCCCGTTCGATGTCCGCCAGTTGGTTTTCGATGTCCGCCGACGGGACGGGACGGGACGGGACGGGACGGGACGGGACGGGCCGGGCCGGGCCGGGCCGGGCCGGGCCGCGGGCCGGGCCGTGGGCCGGGCCGGCGGACCGGGCCGGCGCCGGCGGGACGGGACGGGACGGGACGGGACGGGACGGGACGGGACGGGACGGGACGGGACGGGACGGGACGGGACGGGACGGGACGGGACGGGACGGGACGGGACGGGACGGGACGGGACGGGACGGGACGGGACGGGACGGGACGGGACGGGACGGGATGGGACGGGACGGGACGGGACGGGACGGGACGGGACGGGACGGGACGGGACGGGACGGGACGGGACGGGACGGGACGGGACGGGACGGGACGGGGACGGACCCCCTGTTCAAGCCTTGACGTTGGGACTTGCTTGACCCCATGTAACCCTCAACTCTAAGAAATCTCGAGTCCAACAAGCGCTAAAAGAAACACCATCCCAACAGCATTCTTTGACCACGTCCCATGTGGGGGCGGTCGTTTGTTTTTTGTTCTTTTGTTTTTTTTTTTGGGGGGGGGGTTGTGTGGGCGGGGGCGGTGGGGGGGGGTCAAGCGGTTCTCTATGTTTCCATAGGAAAACCTACATTTTGCTATTATTTACGTAGGAAAACAATTATTTTCACTATTGTTACGTAGGAAAACCATGATTTTCTTATATTTACACAGGGAAACCTCTATTTTGTGAATATTTACATAGGACAACAAACCTCCATTGTCTCTATCTGTCCATAGCAAGACCTTTATTTTGTCTATATATGTAAAGAAGGATTCATATGATTTGAATCAAGCTTGCACGGCTTTAAAAAAGCGGGGCGGGGTGGGGGGGCGGGGGGCGCGACCCTCAACCCTAAACCCTTTTTAACACGGACCTCTGAAGCCCCTAAACCCTAAACCAGGGAGTATAGGGGCGGTCTTTGGTGTGTCCGAAGGGCTTTGGGGTTAGCGTCGAGGGTTTTTAGAGTTGAGGGTTTTCGGATCTGGGGTTGAGGGTTCGAGTTCAGAGGGTTAGGGTTTATAGACTTGAGGTTCAATTTCGGTTCTAAGAAAAAAGCGAGGGGGGGAGGGGGGCTAAAAAGACTCATATGCTTTGAAGCAAGCTTGCACTGCTCAAAACAAGCCCCCTTTTGCAGACACAATGATCGCATGATGGGTTTCAAAAAGATTCAAACTTTTCTGCAAGCAAGCTTGCACGGCTTAAAAAAAAAGGCGGGGGGCCCCCCACCATTTGCAAACACGATGATCGCATGATGGGTTGGAAAAAGACTCATCTGATTTGAAGCAAGCTTGCACGGCTGAAAAAAGCGGGGGGGTTGGGGGGGGGGGCGCAGCCCCCCCCCCATTTGCAAACACAATGATCGCATGATGGTTTATCATATGATTTGAAGCAAGCTTGCACGGCTTAAAAAGCGGGGGGTTGGGGGGAGCGCAGCCCCCCCCCCCCCAATTGCAAACACAATGATCGCATGATGGGTTAAAAAAGCTTCATATGCTTTGGAGCAAGCAGCAAGCTTGCACAGCTTAAAAAAGTGGTGGGGTTGGGGGGGGGTGGCAGCACCCCCTATTTGCAAAAAAAAGATTCATCTGATTTGAAGCAAGCTTGCACGGCTTAAATATGCTTTGAATCAAGCTTGCACGGCTTAAAAAAGTGTCGATGGTCTTCCTACAAAGGTTCCAGAGTTTGAGATGCTTGGCCAAAAGGTGTTTCGATGCTCGGCGGAGGGTTTTTCGATGCTGGGCGGCAGGTTTTCGATGCTCGGCAGAAGGGTTTTTCGTTGCTCGCCGGAAGGGGATGGTTGCCGCCGGACCTGGATCGATGCTGGTGGGCCGTTTACGTTGTTATCTTTCGTTGTTGTGAGACATCTTTCGTTGTCCGCCGGTAGTTTTTCGTTGTTCGCCGGTACCCACCCTTCAAGGGAATACCTGAAAATGTTCAAGTCGAAATCAGGGCTAAAACTTGTTGGAGCTCCCAGTCCTAAACCATAAACCCTAAACAGCAATGGTCCCAAAACCCCTGCATGCCCAACTGGGCTCGATGGCTTCACGCGCGCCATATACCTTCCCTAAAACGCCCAGCCCACACCTGAACCATGTTGACCCTTTAACCCCCTGGTTCTTCGTGGGGAATGAGGGAACTAGGGCCCTTATATATATATATATATATATAGATATAGATATATATATATATATATACGCGTTAAGGGATTGGCCCTATATATACGTGTTAAGGGATTCTGTAGGGTACCTCATTCCCCAGCTTGACCCTTTAAACACCAAGCCTTCACGATCTGAAAGCAAGATGCAGTCGCGTGCACCTATGACGAAGCCTGTTACGGGGCTGCCAAGTGTCAACGATCTCCTGGCTGCGTCTGAGATTTGAAGGGCTTGACTGCACCAAGCTCTAAAACTCACGAAGTCCCACGCCCCTTGCCTGAGAATCCCCAACCCAAGCACTAGCCGCTGGCCGTCACTAGCTCGAAACCCCAGTGCAGATTCGCCCTTTAGTCTTTAGCATGGCCCCTTACCCTTGTCCAAAAATATCCGAAGTATCGGCCCTTGTCATGCAGGGGGTATACAACGGGACCCCCAAAGTAAGGGCCGATACTTGGGACGCCAGTGCAGATGACAAGAAGTCCACAACTATCCAAATCTCCTTTGGCGAGAGCGTTCTCTCCGGTAGTGGCCTCACAATGGATTTGTATAGGGTTTAGGGTTTAGGGTTTAGGTTTAGGGTTTAGGGTTTGCTTGAGCCGCCGGTTTAGGGTTGAGGGTTTCGGGCTTAGCATTTGAAGTTCTTTGAAGTTCTGAACTGTTTCATTCTGTAAGTAAGACATAAACTCCCTACCGCCCCCCCCCCCCCCCCCCCCCCCCCCAGCCCCGAAAGACGAACCAACCTGCATGCGCCCCCCAAAGCCCAAACGCGACAATAGCAAGGCCCCAAACACTTCGACGACACTGTCGTTTCTGTTTTTTTTGTTTATTTTTGGGCGGGGATGGTGCTTCTCAAGTGGCTTACATATGTGAGCGTCCCCAACTGGACCGATATTCAATGCAGCCAACTTTGCTTGCCTCCAACAACACCTCGAAGCCTACGCAAGCACGAACACAACCACAACTCAATGGCGAGATTCAACCCAAAATCTCCTAAATCCAAACCTAGCACGCTGCAAGATGCCTTGCGTGGAAACCCACCCGATCTCTTGTCAGGCGCGGTTTCTCCAGGTTTGGGTCCGGATAGTTTTCGCGTGCCACAGCACAACTTGGTACGGCGGAGCGGCTAGTGTGGTAGGACATGGTATAACCGGGTGTCCGTGCAATGTCCGCGGGGGAAGGGGAGATGGAGACCGGGGGAGGAGGGAGGAGGGTGGAGGAAGCTCTTCGGAGCCGCAGGACACACGCACACCAAGGAGTTCCAACACAGACTGCAAGTCACAGGCCTTACCCTAAACCCTAAACCCTAAGCCCTAAGCCCTAAACCCTAAACCCTAAACCCTAAACCCTAAACCCTAAACAGTCACAGGCCTTCGCCCATCGGCACCCCGCGGCCTCAAAGGGGCATCGGACTTGACCTCAGAAGTGATTTTGTGGCTGCGCCGACGGAGGCTGGGATTTGCGAGCACGGAGGCAAGGTTTAGGGTTTAGGGTTTAGGGTTTAGGGTTTAGGGTTTAGGGTTTAGGGTTTAGGGTTTAGGGTTTAGGGTTTAGGGTTTAGGGTTTAGGGTTTAGGGTTTAGGGTTTAGGGTTTAGGCTAGGGTTTAGGGTTTAGGGTTTAGGGTTTAGGGTTTAGGGTTTAGGGTTTAGGGTTTAGGGTTTAGGGTTTAGGGTTTAGGGTTTAGGGTTTAGGGTTTAGGGTTTAGGGTTTAGGGTTTAGGGTTTAGGGTTTAGGCTGAAGCTTCTGTCTTGCCAGAGTTGCACAGGAAACTGGGCTTCCGAACAACCCTCAGGCCTACATGAAGTAGGGTAGATACTTCTTGTACCCCCAAAAGGACACCAGGTACATACACTCACCAACTTAAAAAAGGAACCTTACATACACTCACCAATAACAGTAATATAAACCCTACTTCACATGGCTATATGGGAGCTCGGATGGAGCACCGACTTCTCCCAGGATAGAAAGCCATTCCTCAGGCCCCCGGCGCCGGGCTTGGCTTTGGCCTTGGCCAGGGCTGCTTGTGCAAACGGCCACCCTCCACCCAGGGTTTAGGGTTTAGGGTTTAGGGTTTAGGGTTTAGGGCTCAGGGTTTAGGGTTCAGGGTTTAGGGTTCAGGGTTTATGGTTCAGGGTTTGAAATTCAAGCTGGTGTTCAGCAGCCCTGAAGCAGCTGGAACTCCATAGCTTCAAGAACTTCACTTCTAGAGTTTTCGTGGTCTTTTGGCCCGCCATCGACCCCTGGACCCTGAACCCAAAAACCCAAAACCCTCAACCCTAAACCCTAAGCCCTAAACCCTAAACCCTAAACCCAAAACCCTCAACCCTCAACCCTAAGCCCTCAAGATCAACCAAAATCACGCCCGGGCCTTCGCCAGGCGACTTTGCGCCGGCGTGGAGCCCGGAGCCTCCTCGCAGTGAAGCAAGCCTCCTGAGCCCCGGGTTTGTAGGGTTTAGGGTTTAGGGTTTAGGGCTTAGGGTTTAGGGTTTAGGGTTTAGGGTTTGAGGGAGCCTCCTGAGACCCGGGTTTGTTGGGGCCTGAGGGTTTAAGGGTTTAAGGGTTTAGGGTATAGGACTTAGGGTTTTAGGGTTTAGGGTATAGGGCTTAGGGTTTAGGGGTTTAGGGTTCAGGGCCCTTTAGGGTCTAGGTTGGGATGTTCCCCCCTTATAAGCCCTTATACACGGAGTCTTGGGTTTATAGGGGTTTAGGGTTTAGGGTTTAGGTTTTAGGGTTTAGGGTTTAGGGTTCACGTGCTGGTACGTGCCTCCATGCTGCCTTTGCAGCACAGCAGCGGTGTGGCCACGAAACATGGGGATGCTCCCCCTTAAACGAACAGTCCTTCATAGGCATTGTCATAGGGCGGTACTGTAATCTCTAGTAAGGACTGTTAGTATAAGGGGGAACATCCCAAGCTCGAAACCACAAGCAAACAAGCAAGCAAGCAAGCAAGCACGAAAATCAAACACAACAAACGACACCGAAACACAATAATTTAGAGCACAGGGCTTGCATGCATGTCGGGTTCAGGGGTGCGCGTGTTGAGTCTTGTCTTGGCTTTGCGGGACAGAATGTGTATCGTGCTTCTGTGTACAGAAGTGTATCTACAATTTGAGATCTGTAATTATGCTCTATATACATATATATATACACATACATGTAGCTGTTACTTGTTTTTTTGTCTGTGCGGGGGCTTGGGCGGTGGGGGCGGGGTAGAGAAGCGGGGCTTGCCGAAAGAAACCCACACCTAGGAAAGAATATTAATAACAATTACCCAGACACGATCGCCACATCGGAAGAAGGACCGTTTAGTTTAGGGTTCGATGGGTTCTTTTCTGCGCTATTCTGCTACACTCGTTTAGGCACCGACAACCCCAGGTGTCCCTGAAGCAACAGTGAAATTCTGAAGCACTGCCGTTCCAGCCATGCCAAAGAACCCTAAACCCCTACATCCTAAACCCTAAACCCTAAACCCTAAACCCTAAACCCTGCAAAGCCTAAACGACCCGAAGCTTGTGCCGCCTTCCATTGCCTTGCGGCACCAGAGTGCCCCATCACTCCAGAGAAGGCGGCCATCGCCCAAGAGCCTCGATGACGCAAAAGGCTTCATTCTCACGGTTTAGGGTTTAGGGTTTAGGGTTTAGGGTTTAGGGTTTAGGGTTTAGGGTTTAGGGTTTAGGGTTTAATTCTCATGAAATACCGTGGTTTAGGATTTAGGGTTAGGGTTTAGGGTGTAAGGGAACCTAAAAACCCTAACAAGAAGGTATTGAAGGCCTACCCTGGGCTCCTGGAGTACTTACCGTTCGAGTTTGAACTTTAGGCGGTTCTGAGGTGGGCAAAAGAATCTTAGGCGACCTGGCGTTCAAACCTTGGAAGGCCTGTTAAGAGCTTGGGGTGTTTTGCCACCTGCAACTACGCTGAAGGGATGCAATGTACGTCGACCGAAAGTGCTAAGGAGGATGGAAACGGGGGGGCAAAACAAACGTGCTCATCTATGTGAGGGGGGGGAACCGCGCAGGCGTGACGACTTCCGACCACTTCCGACCACCAATAGACGCCAGGGCTTTTAGGGTTTAGGGGACCACAAAAAGCCGACAAATTTGTGTGCAAGCACAACATGAATCCATTCTACAACTCTAAGCCCTAAACCCTAAGCCCTAAACCCTTTTTACGCCATGGAGCCGTCCCTGGAACACTTCGCCGCTCATCCTTCGCAGCACCAAGCCCTACATTGTAATCCTTAAGTCCTTATAAGGCTTCTGAGGGTTCCTAACTTTCTGCTTTGCACAAGACAAGACAAGGGCGGACGGAAGCTACATGGTTCTTGTTGGAGGCTTGGTGAGTGTTTACCGGTTAACGTCTGTGAGCCCTCTGCGAAACTAGTCCTACGTCTACGTCCCCCTCCAGCCCCCGAAGTCTTGAAGGAACACATGCGCACGCCGGAGACTTCCAGCGGCAGCGAGGTGCCAAGGCCATGCATCAACAGGCCTTCGATGACCACCTGGGGATGTGGACGTTCGGAGTGCGCTGGAGGGTTTCGGGGCTGTTTTGGTTGGGGTTTAAGCCTTTTTGCCATTTAGGGCTCAGAGCGGTTAGGGCTTTCGGCTTGGGATCTCGTATATGCAAGTAGGCACGGCTTGAGAGCTTCCGCTTTCCAAGCCCAAATGCGGCTTGGGAATTTGGAGCTCCTTAAGCCAAAAAATATTCTAAAAGGTCGGCCCCCCTTCAAACCTTGAACCCTACTTTGAACCCCTAAAGTCCTTTCTAGGCCTGAATATGATCCTCTTAAACCCAATAAGGGAAAAGTTTCCCAAGGACCTACCTAGTTTCTTTTTTTTAAGAGGGTTCTTAAGGGAGGGAAGTTCAAGGGCCCACGACCCCCTAAGGCTCCCTAAGCTTCCCTAAGGTTCCCCCTAGGTACCTACCCCCCGATGAACCCCCAACCCAAAACCCTAAACCCTAAGCCCTAAACCCTTTTGCGAGGCCTCGGTGCCCTCATCATCCTGGTGCTGGACAAGGCTGCTTGTTGTCGATTTTTCGTGGGAGGAGGCGGGGGGGGGGGGGTTCGAGTTTCGGGTTGTAGGGTGGGTTTTCCAGCACGCTTGAAATGGGACGCTCTCCCTCTCTCTCTCTCTCCCTCCCTACCACATGCAGCCGACGGAACTCACCCGAACAGCCGAACAACACCGTGGAGCACACCAGCACCAACAGATGACAAGCAAGAATCTCTGTTGCCCTCATATGGCAGAATGATCTTTGGTTTTTTTTTTGGGTGGGGGGGGGGTGGGGCGAGACGGGTCAGGTTCTTCAGCAACACACTTTTGCATCCGGGCTTGGGCAGCCAAAACCCTTTTTAAGCATGGACTGAGGCTGCCGGCAACACCTGCCAGTCAAAGCCCTAAACCCTAAACCCTAAACCCTAAACCCTAAACCCTAAACCCTAAACCCTAAACCCTAAACCCTAAACCCTAACCCTAAACCCTAAACCCTAAACCCTAAACCCTAAACCCGATGGCCCCGGCGCCTCCCAGGTTCCTGAGAACGCCTCCTCGGCCCGGGAAAGAAGGCGCTTGCCCGCCACTGCAATGGAGACCCAGCCTCCGGGAATGCGAGGCTTCGGGTTTAGGGTTTAGGGCTTAGGGTAACCCTAGACTCATAAACCCCCTGAGCCGGGCATTGCAGGGTTTCCTTGCAGCATTTCAGGCTTTGGGCGGCTTTCAACTTCTCAACACTGGGAGGAATCCCTGCATGTCTCTCTTGCGGAGGAGCCCAAGCGCGCTGCGCTTGCCCTCGCTGCTCTAAATCCTACACCCCAGACCCTAAACCTTGTTGAACCCAGACACTGCAGCCCGAAACCCTATATACCCTGAACCCTAAACCTCTCTTCTTCTTTTTCATGAGTTCCAGTAACGCAAGCAATAATTTTTCACGCGCCCTTGAATGGCATGGACCTCTCTTGGGGTGGCCAGCCGCTGATTCTTGGGAAGTGGCGTTGAATACCCTAGCCCACACAAGGTTAACCCTTTATTTGTGCTTGGATGATATTTATAAATATATATATATATCACTTGTGTCACGAAAATGTTAAAGGATAACTGCCAGCAGTTTCTTGACACTAACCTCAAAGCCTCAAAGCCTTGGAAGCACGGAGCAACACAACCCTAACCGAGGTCCTTCATCAGGCCCAGTGCCCACCAGCCGCCGAAAATGCAGACGATTGTCTGCTGCTTCCAGCTCTTCTAGGACAGATCCTGTAGGCCGAGACATGGGTTGCTAGATCCTGCGGCGTCGCTGATGCTTCTGTCTGCAGTTGGAGGGTTGGTGAGTTCTTAGCGTATCTAAGTTCTGGTCATGGCAGTATAGAAGGCAATTTTGCCACACCCTAAACCCTAACCCCCCCAAGAAACAGCACCAGTTTGCTGTTCCTTTCAGTCCTCATGTCAAACCTAAGCAAACAAATCCTCTTAAGCCCTACATCTTCGAAGCAACTCCAACCCCCCTTCTCCTTCACTCTCCTTAACTAGGGTTCAGGGTTTAGGGTTTCGGGATTAGGGTTTAGGGCACAACCCTAAACCCTAAACCCTAAACCCTAAACCCTAAACCCTAAACCCTAAACCCTAAACCCTAAACCCTAAACCCTAAACCCTAAACCCTAAACCCTAAACCCAGAGTCTGAGAGTCTCCTGTTGCCAGTCGCTGCGGCAACGCAGCGGAGGTCAGCTCGCGGCCTGTCGGCTTCCGCTTCGGAACCCCAAAAAGACGCTCTTGAAGCGTTAGATTGAGGATTTGTTGAAAGAGGATGTTAAAAAAAAAGTGGCTGAAACACAGGACATTTCGCAGGATTTTAGAAGGGAGGATCATAAACAGATATGTTTAAGTTTAAGAGGACCTTTAGAAAAGGATTTTGAAGAGGTGTTGTGAGGCGTCGGGCTGCCAGCAAAGCAGGAAGCCGGCTGTAGGGCTGTACTCTCTTTGTGGGCGAAGCTGAATGGTCCGCATGGGGGTTTACGAACATAGGGGGCCATAGTAGGATTCCCTTGTAATAAGGACCCCAATAAAGTACCCCTAATTTCGGAAACCTCCATTTTACGCCCCCCCCCCCTCTTCAAGTGTTTTTTGGACTATGGCTGGTCGTTTGGTTCGTAAGATCAGGAAATCTCAAGCAGCCCTCAGAGCAATGCCGGCGGGGTTTTCCTTATCATTGAGCAAGACCCGCCAGAGCTACGCAAGATCAGTTCTACTACTATTCCTGTCCTGAACCCCCAAACAGCAAGCCTTCTCCCATTCTTGGGGGGGATCCCTCCCTTTGTTTCGTTTCTAGTCTGGCTACGGCCCACACAACAAGACATGCCAGGGAATGCTCTGGGGCCACGGGAGGCTTCAAGCAGAGGGACGTGCCATGGGAGGCTTGATCTCAGACTCTTCTAGTTGGAAGTTTGAGATAGCTGAGGAATATTCTTCCGCAAAACCCAGCCGTTCCCCCCCCCCCGCCTCCACCCCACCCCCACTGCAACCCATTCCGGGTGCTTTCTAGAAGCCTTCAAGAGGCTACGGGATCCCCCCACCCTAAACCCTAAACCCTAAACCCCAAACCCTAAACCCTAAACCCCAAACCCCAAACCCCAAACCCTAAACCCTAAACCCTAAACCCCAAACCCTAAACCCTAAACCCGAAACCCTAAACCATGAATGGGGGCCTTGCCGCACCACGATGCCGCCCTTGTCAGCACCACCCAGCACTTCCCACAGCTTGGGCATGGGCAAACTCTGGGCGGCAATAGGGCCGGCTACGTATATATATAATATATAATATATAATATATAATATATAATATATAATATATAATATATAATATATAATATATAATATATAATATATAATATATAATATATATTATATAATATATAATATATAACATATAATATATAATATATAATATATAATATATAATATATAATATATAATATATAATATATAATATATAATATATAATATATAATATATAATATATAATATATAAATATATATAATATATATATATAATATAATATATATAATGATATATAACATATATATATACATTATATACACATAATGGGTAGTACTCTAGATTAAGGTCCCTTTGTACTAGAACTAAGGAGGACCCTAATTTAAGGAACTACCCATACGGTGGGCTGTGGCCAGCGCATGATCGGGTCTGATCTTTATGGCTTAGAATGTCAGACTTCATTCCGTTTGTAGAGCTTGCTCCAGTGTGGTGAGACAAGACTTGTCAAGGGGCGAGCATGTTGACCACAAACCTTGTTCGTCAACTCAGGCTTCGGCGCCTCCGCCAATAATGAGCCCAACAGCCACAGAAACCCTAAACCCTAAACCCTAAACCCAAAACCCTAAACCCACACAAACCGGCGAAAAAACAATGCGCCTGGAAAGCTTGAGCAGCTGCGCAGCAGACGTGATGCTGGTGTGGGGGTTTGAGGTTTAGGGTTTAGGGTTTAGGGTGTAGGGTTGAGGGTTCAGGTGCAGAGCGTGTGCAGCTCTGGACGACCCTCAACAATCCCAGCCTACATATGCCTGGGCCCGTCTCCGATGTTGCGATGCACATTTTAACATTTACAGCTGTAGTAGGTGGTCTAGACTTTGCTTAATCAGGCGGAATAAGCGGCCAACAAAACACAAGATCACGAACTTGCTTCTGACGCGCGCCAGACCCCTCACCACCTCATGTTTTTTTTACAATCTATACTAGCGGAGCTTGCATAACTTCAAAAAAATCTTAATCTGCCATAAGCCCTCCATGTTCGATCGAAGGCATCTCAGCGCCGAAGCCGGAAGACACCAACGGAGCATGCACAAGCATCTTCCCCAGGTCCTGGGGAAAATGCTCGAAAGCCTGAGACCCTCAAAAACCGAAAACACATGACAATGAACACTCCCAAAAACACCCCCACATGGTGTGTACCCTGAACCCTAAACCCTAAACCCTAAACCCTAACCCTAAACCCTAAACCCTAAACCCTAAACCCTAAACCCTTACAAAGGCGGGTGTTTTGCACACCTTGCTGCGACGCCCCAACATGGCCTGCAAAGGCTGTCCAGTTTGGTGCTTGAAGGCTTTCCCCTAAACCCTAAACCCTAAACCCTAAACCCTAAACCCTAAACCCTAAACCCTAAACTTGGGGGTCGAGGCATGCATGAGGGGCCGACTCTGCTCCACAAGCAAAGCGAACTGAACACAACGTCTGAACGATGGAAAGATGCAGCCCTTCACCTGGCCAGCCACTTCTCGACGCACCACCTCCGAAACCTTCCAGCCACGACAAACCCTCCCGGACCCTTTCCGAGTTTAGGGTTTAGGGTTTAGGGTTTAGGGTTTAGGGTTTAGGGTTTAGGGTTTAGGGTTTAGGGTTTAGGGTTTAGTACAATCAACAACGAAGCCCAACTTGCAAAGCCAAGAAGAGAACAATTGAAGCTGCAAAAACCAAGTCGAGTAAACCAGAACCACCTCAAACCAAACCCAAGGACAGTCAGAAAGCCATCGCCCCTTCGCTAAACCCTAAACCCTAAACCCTAAACCCTAAACCCTAAACCCCCTAAGCCCCACGGCCCTGCGGCGTTTGACGGAAAACCCCCTATACCGTGACCCCTACCACGTCACTATACTCCCTTAGAACCTTCATCAAAATAGAATTGTTAATATCCTCTTGGGTTTCATATACCATAATAAACAAATACTATGTTTAATGTCCCTTATTGGGTTTTATATACCATAATAGAAAATACAATTTTAAATGTCCCTTACTGGGTTTTATATACCAGAATAGAAAATACTATTTTTAATGTCCCTTATTGGGTTTTGTGGAAACAAAAATAAAACTAATACCCAAGGGAGGATATAGGTCAGCAATGCCTCTCGCATGGCGCCCGCTGCGGCCCAAGGGCTCGGAAGCCGATCCTGCCACTGGGCTTAGGTTTTTTTTAAAGGGTTTAGGGTTTAGGGTTTAGGGTCTAGGGTCCAGGGTTTAGGGGTTTGGGAGTTTCGCAGCTTCTGCCGTGTGATGGAATGTCACCTGGGCTTTATGTTCTAGGTTAAGAAAATGTTCGTAGCTTCCTGACTTCGCAATTTGTTGTCGTCCACGTGCCCAGTCCGCTGCGATTCCTAGATGGCTGAGCTCCGGCTACAACCTGCCTGAAAAACGGGTCTCTCTGTGTGTGTGTGTGTGTGTGACACCTGCAACCGCTGCAGGAAGGGTTCATCCATTGCTTTCTTTCGGCGTGCGCTTCAAACAGAACGTGGAAGGTGTGCGGCTTCACAGTGACCTACAGACCTTCGCCTTCGGCATGCGCTTCAAGTAGAGCGCGGGAAGTGTGCAGCTTCAAAGCGACCTACAGACCTTCATCTTTGGCATGTGCTACATTTGCGCCGGGTTCATATATGCTTGATCCCTTCCCATGGTTCTCCAGGTTTTGCTTTCTTCCCGGTTTCCCCTCCTCTCCTCCTGCATTCCCCGCCTTCTCGCCCCGTTTCGTCCTTCCTCCCCCTCCCTCTTCCCCCCGCCCTTTCGGTCTTGTGTGGTTTAGGTTTGTGTGTTTTAGGTTTGTGTTATGGTGCATATACTTCAAGCAGAGCATGGAAAGTTTGCAGCCTCACAGTAATCTACAGACCTTCACCTTCGGCATGTACCCCAAACAGAGCGTGGACAATTGGCAGCTTTACAGAGGCCTATTCCCCATTAGGCAATGGGGGCCGTGATAGAAAAAGCGGCGACTTGCAGTTGCCCGGCATTGGAATGTACTTGGCTTAAACTACTCTCCCGCGAGAGGATGTGTGTCTGCGCCCGCTGTTCCCAAGCGGCCTCGAATTCTCAACCATCCAATTTGAATAGCAGGGGGCACCTGGGCCATGGATAGGTCAGGTGCCAACGAAGACACCTATCCATTGGCTGTGATATGGATTCCGGACGCGGAATCCACGTACCTGCATGTGTTCGAAAGTCGGGAGCCTTTTCGATTTATAGAAATGAGTGTGCAAAGTCGGGCCCTCAGACATTGACATAGACAAGATTTCAGACTGTTCAGTTGGGGCGCTTGCGCTTTCTGACAGTGAACAATGAGCAGAGTTACACATGACTTACACCAGTTTCACCCTACATCATTAGCTATGACACTACATGATACAGTATGGCAGATGGGGGTTGGAAACTATGTCAAATGTCAGCAGCAATCGCACTCATCAGTGTGAGCACCTCTGGTGCAAGCCTACCGGCCCGGTTGTGTCGTAGGTGTGCCCGTCCCCTCGTGGGTAGGGATCAAGGAAGCAGGAGGCCTGGCGAGCCATAAGAAGCCCCGATGGCACCGATGTTCGAGGAATGCCTCCTCCACGTGGGGGGGCCAAGGAATCGACGTGTTTGCACGCCTTGTCAACAAGTAGACCTTCGGGTCAGAGAAGACCGTTAGGTCACAAAGGAGGCCGCTGGCCACTAAACAGATTGCTGCGCGTGCGGTTAGACAACTCGGATGCTGATCTACTATAGCAACTTTGGTTCAAATTTTCTGCGGTGTTTTACTAGCAAGTTGTGATTCAGCCATGAGCTCAACCAGTGAAGAAGAGCTGCTACATCGGCTGCAACGAAAACAGCGGAAGCGTCGTGAGAAGGAGGCAGCGGCCACCCTGGCTCATCAACCTAAGGCAGTCAGCATGGACAACCCAGGTGATTCCGATTGGCAGCTGAACCAGACAACGTCCGATAGTCAAGATGCTTGGCAGCAATCATCTTCGTGGACTGATGACAGCTGGCAGAAGCAGGACCATTGGCAGCAGAGTCATCACAGTCGCGACTCTTGGCAATCACGGTCCAAACAGGACCAGTGGTGGCACCAGACTGCTCATGATCAAGCCGGATCTACCAAAAGGTGGAGGTCAAGTGACTGGCAGGCTGGCGCATGGTCAACAGGTCGGGAAGATAGGTCGTCCAAGGGCGGGGCCGCAGCGACACCTCCCAAAGCTCCACGACCTCCAGAACAGCTACCCCTTCCCGGCCCTCCTCCGTTGATTCCTCCTTCCTTGGCTCCAGGACCACTTCCTCCCCCGCCTGCTTTCCCACCCCCACCTCCGCCGGTGTTTCCGGGGCAAGTCGGGCAACCGTCGCAGATTCCGGTTGGGATTGCAGCCTCACCGGTACAGCTCGGAGGTGCAGCAATGGCGCATACGAACGTGCAGCAGGGTCCTGCGTTGCAGCAAGCAGTTTCACCTGGTTTTGCATGTGCGTCACAACACGCGTTTCCATGGACAGCTCAAATTTCGCCATATCCTCCAACAAGATGGATGTCAAATCAGGATGGCGCTGGTGTGCCAGGTCAGACGATGAATCAACCGCCGCCTGCGACGAATTCCAAGTTCAGGAGCCCCCCTGGTCCACCACGTGCCGGATCAAGTGCAACACAAGGCCAAAAAGGCCTGCCCGACGATGTTCTGCAGAGTGCCAGGAGAATCTTGCCAACACGTAATGTGCGCAGTTGGGCAGAATTGCAGCCAGCAGAGAGAGTGAAGCTTGACACTGTGAGTGCGCAGGCAGCTCAAGACATCAAAGACCATTTGCTTCAGCTGGATCCGCAAGTGACTTCGTCCATTTGTGATGCTGTGGTGCAAGTGATAGTTAGCAGCGGCAATGAAGCCCTCTTTGACCTGCGCCGCGCGGAAACACTTGACATCAATCGTGTTTACAGAGCTTTGATCGTTCCGTTCAATCCAGGATACTTGCCGCATGTTTTTGGAGCCGATAGTCGGGATTCTGCCAGAGGATATTCCTACACCTTCACGTTTGCGCATGGCACATCCATCAAATCGGCCTCTATCATTGCGGCAGAGGCGCTGTTGAGGCCCTCAGCGTGGGGAGGCATTCTCGAAGGCCCGGATGGCAGCTATCCCACTATGGGTTTCAACGCGCAGGCCACACCTGGATCGTACTCTACTCGTGCACAGGACACCGCAGCGATAGTGCTAGGAAAGGTCTTGAAAACCCCGAAGGGGCTACAAGGCGTCGTTGTTCTTGGTGAGACCTTCAGTAAAGTGCCTCACTACTCCACAGATAGTCAATGCGTGGATGAGGAGCAGCGTATCACTGCACTCAACGGTTCCTGCAAAGGCGTACATAGGTGGACGCTGCATGCTGAATGTTCTCATATCACAGCCTTTGCGTTCATTCGCGCCTTGTAAAGTTTTGCTGTGCTGCATGAATTGCACTGTTTTCCGTTTCGGACGTTGTGCTTCAATGAAAGACCACTTGGACGGAGTCCCTCTCGTAGACCTGCATACGCTCATGCATGTTCATGGTCTTGCGCAAATTTCGGCACGTGCAAGGTCCTCTTCACATGAAACGGCGCGGTCTCACCGATGTTTCACCGCATGAGAGGCATATGCGTGTCATGGTGTTCATGATAATTGCATAGTTCACGATTGGACTTCGCGTGTTTTCACCCATGCATGATTGCAGTTGCTGTTACTTCTTTTCGGGGCCCGCGTGCTGGAATTGTGCACTGAGTCCCTCTAGGAGATCTGCGTGCATTCATGCATGTCCATGGTTTCGCGCAAATTGTGCATATGCCAGAACCTCTTCACATGTAACGGCGCTGTCTCACTGATGTTTCACCGCATGAGAGGCATGTGCGTATCATGGTGTTCATGACAATTACATGATTGGACTTTGCACGTTTCACCCACGCATGTTTGCAGTTGCTGTTAGTTTCTTTTGGGGCCCTCATGCTGCGTTTGGGCATTGATTGTCAGCATTGGTCGTTTCACCCGCATGACTTGAGCAATAAACAATGAGAGATGTGACGAATGCTGCAAGTCTACATCTGAAGCATTGGTGTTGACAGCATGTTTTCATAACATGATGTTTCATGTTCGTGCAGTCTCGCTCAATCTCGTACAAGGGAGAGTTGTTGATCCTTCCCGTCATGTCCCGCTCATACCATAGAGATTTCAGTATCTCCCACCGGACTGCGGATAGCCGCAGCAGGGTGATCGACAGAGAAGGACGGAGTCGACTCACTCCATCTCCCAGACATGATCCTCGTCGCCGCAACACCAGCTCGAATCGACGTGAAGATCGACCTGAACCGTCCTTCAGATCTCGGACGCCCCGATCCAGGCACGCGTCACGAGCAAGCCCGTTGCGACCCCGGCGACTAAGTTTGGGAAGGTCTCGTTCAAGGCGCTCATCTCTTCATCGTCATCCTCGCCGGCCATCCTCGCCCACGCAGGCTCGCTCCAAGGCAAGAGCCAGATCCGAGGACAACTGGAGAGATCTACTCCGCAGCCAAGCTGAGGACGCCTACAAGGTACCATCCACGTGGAAGAAGGATCATCGCCAACTGGACGCCAACACTGCCTATGGTTTCACCCTGCCACGACATGTTATACCTACAGAATTTTCGCGGGCCAATAAGACTGCTAACATGCCGACTCATCAAGTGCCATTAGCAGCTTTGCTCCACTCGAATCTGGAGTCATGGCCTTTGAGAGTTGTGGCCAACGGCAAGCCAGTGGCTGTTGAGGTGTTCAGATCTCGCCAGGAAGCAGTGTTCCATTCTCTTCTCAGCAAGCGCATGCGAGACCATGTTCCTAAGCTGGACCTCAATGAGTTGATCAAAAGTGCGCATCAGAGATTGTCAGACACAGTGAACTACAGCGGGGTCAAGGACCTCAACGATTGGTCCTACCGATTCAAACTCACCGAGCTCGTGGCGAAGGAAACGGCCGAGATGATGGTCGCCAAACTTCCGGTCACACAGTCACAGGACCTCCTGAACCGGATGCAGGCCCTGGAAGAAGAGAACCAACGACTCAAGGCAGCAGGAGGACCGTCTCAAGCAGCCCAACCTTCGGCAAAGAACCAGATGCCGCAGCCTGCCACAGTCTCACAGGAACATGCCACGTTGCTGCATCGGTTCCAGACATTCGAACGTCAAGCGCAGGAGCCAAAACACTTGTCGAAAAACCTTTCAGGGACATCCACTCAGGCAATCGCAGGATGGATCCGTGCCAACTGTGGAGATGCCACCGTCAAGCAGCGACACACCAGCATGATGACCGAAATCCAGGACCTCATCAAGAACGCACCGGCAGGAGTTCTCCCAGATCGTGCCTCGTTGTTGGTGTCGTGGGGAGCCACAGTGGAGCAAGCAGCCAATCTCAACAAGAATGAGGTGCTCATGAATAAGTTGCTTGCAGCGTGTGCTGCCTTGAGGGAGTGACTAGTTCGGGGGCCTGACCCCACCAAGACGATGCCCCGTAGCTACAAGGACTGGCTTAGGCGGTTGCGCGTGCCTCTTTTTCAGCTTCTGCGTACAGCAGTTTGTACAGCGCGGCAACTGCCTAATCTAGGCACAGTTTTGTACCCTTTCCAATGGCTCTGCGCCTTCTTTCTATGTTTCTTCTCCTACGCAAAAGTGACGTTCAGCAAGGCTTCAAAAGCGTTTCACCAAGTTTTGTGCAATCACCAAGTCCCTTGGCAGTACCCTAGATCTTGGCACTTTCAGCCATCTGTTGTATATTTGCGGATTAGTTTTTCTCAACGTCAGTGGTATATCGGCAGTACTCATGAAACCATCAAAGAAAGGGAACAGTCTCGCCATTCCAAGTTCACTCAGATCAGACGAGAGCGACAAGCTTACTTTGAACCAGCGCTGAGATTCTGGTTGGTTACCGGCACCTATGACCAGTTCTACCCGCTTGTGCTCAAAACATGCCCTGATGCTGGTGAACTCAGAGCTCACGAAGCTCTACTCATACGACAGCATCGCAGTCGGCTGAATGCACCTTGGGTTCACCAGGAGCTCAAGAAATTAGGTTTTTCCGTAAAACCTATACTACATCACAATACTACCACGGGAGCTCCCGGCCGACGATTGCATCGACGGCGTCGGGGCACAGCTCGACGACTGCATCTGGACTTGGCTGCAGTTGATCTGCAGGAAGCGTCCACACACCTTCAACTGCTATCACAACTTGGCAGCAATTCAGTACAGAAGTTCACTGTGTCCAGGTTTTTGCGATCCCAACATGTTCCATTGTCCTTTCTGTATTATTTGGTTCGACTTACACCTATGCTGGATTCCCTGGAAAGAGCAAGAGCCACCACATTGCTGACCTCCGCCCTTAGGTTTCGAGGTGGAGATATACCGCCTATGAATCGCATGTTAAAGGTTCTGCAAGGACCTGGCAATTTCTTACAAGCAGCTAGGTCGTGGATCAAGAGCTTCGTGGAGCACAATTCCCTATGGTTCCCACCGTACCACTTACCCAAGGTCAAGATGGTGGAAGTTCAAAACCGAACATTGGGTCAGGTGCTCTTCAATCATCGAAAGTTCATCAAGGATTGGACACATGCGAAGTCACCAGCGTGTGCGTGTCACCATGCCAAGGATTTGCCACGCACGAAATGGGGTCATATCTTTTGTTCAGCCACAGATGCCGTCACGCTGTATCCGAATTTGTTTCACAGTGTTCTTACCCATTCCATGACTGATACAGTTTGGGCGTCCGAACAGCAATTCCTCAGACACCACCATCGAGAATTCACAAAATTTGCCAGTGCTTGGAAATTGCCAAAGTCGGCTGTTGAACAGTGGGATGAGTTCGTTAATCAGCATTGGACAAGCTTTCAGCGCGCAGAAGATGAATCTGTCCAGGCGATCAAAGCAGCCAGTCATTGTATACGACATTGGGTCACCTTGCCAGTGGACCATTTCCCTACGCAGTTGCATATAGCATGTCCCGTGCAGTTTCACCTATTACTGATTGGCACATTCTTCGATGGCACCATCTTTCGCCCGCTACCTCAATCAGCGGCAGTGACTCGGGATCAGATTTTGAAGCAGGCCAGAAAGCAACTACGAAATCAAAAAGCACTCATCCTTTCAAAGCCGCTTCCCAAGGCGTACCTGCTACCCAGGCCAGCAAAGGCTGGTGCGGAGCTAGGCCGATCGTAGCATACAACGCTGCGTGGAATGGTAAGATTTCTCAGGTGGTTGCTGCAATCATCACGCAGGTAGTCGACAGGGTGTTTGGGCGAAAAGAGGCCCTGCCATCGGTGATGCATATCTTACAGCAGATGTGGAAAATCATGCAGGCGGCCCCGATTGACGAGGAGCTCTTGTTGATGCAACAGGACGTTGCCGGTTTCTTTAACGCCGTGCCTCATTCACGTATCTTGGACAGCCTGCGAGTGGTCCTCCATCAGTTCATGCAAAGAGAAAAGGTTGACGTGGATCATGAGTTGTCAGTTTCCGTCAAGCAAGCTGATCAGTTTCATCGAGTGTTTCGAGGTCGCTACCGGAAACAAGCTCATCGTCACTTCTTAATTGCCATTCATGAGATTCCGCACATGGTGTCGTTTCTGTTGCAAGCTGCTGCTTTGAGTGTTGGGACGCATGCTGTACAACAGGTCCAAGGAGCCAGCATGGGCTCGCAACTTGCGCCAGTGCTTTGCAGTATGGTTGCAGCTTTGAAAGAAAGTCAGTGGCAGCAAATTGTGAAACCCCTTTCTTCACATATTCCGTATGCGTTACACGCGAGATATGTGGACAACAGAATCCTTCTAGGGTTCCGCCATACGTTTCAGGAACATGTGCATCATGCATTTACACGCTTGGATTGGTTTGGACCTCCATTGATGCTTGAGAACGTGGCCGACATCAAGATTCTCGGATTCCAATGCGATCCTCGAACTCGTACAATGACTATGGTCATGCCGAACACCGCAGGCAGCATCCGACATCCAAGGTCGGCCTGCAGTTTGTCGATTCTACTGAGTGGTTTTCGTTCACGAGCAGAATTGGTATGTCGACACACCCGACCGAGACAACTGATTGTCCAGCAGCTGCAGGTATTAGAGGAGCTTTACATTCGGCAAGGGTACGCCAAGGATCACCTAGCACCAGTGCTTTCCAGGTTGCGCAAACGCTTTCGGCTCTAAAAATTGCAGCTTCGCCGTGCCTGGTAAGTTTTTGCGCGGATGTAACATGTGCACAATGACCAGCTTTTTGGCATCATTCGTGCTCCGTAATTTCGCTTTTCAAGGATGTGTTAGGTCTCAAGCTGATTTTCATGTGGATATAGCATTTGACTCGCCGTGACAAATGAGTTCCAGACATGCATGGAATACACGCGATGGCTCCACCTGCCGTCAGTCATGGATGTTCTTTTGCAAACGTTCAGTGATTGCTCATGAAGCAAATTGGCTTGCCCTCTCTTCGGAGAGGGCGTGTGTGTGACACCTGCAACCGCTGCAGGAAGGGTTCATCCATTGCTTTCTTTCGGCGTGCGCTTCAAACAGAACGTGGAAGGTGTGCGGCTTCACAGTGACCTACAGACCTTCGCCTTCGGCATGCGCTTCAAGTAGAGCGCGGGAAATGTGCAGCTTCAAAGCGACCTACAGACCTTCATCTTTGGCATGTGCTACATTTGCGCCGGGTTCATATATGCTTGATCCCTTCCCATGGTTCTCCAGGTTTTGCTTTCTTCCCGGTTTCCCCTCCTCTCCTCCTGCATTCCCCGCCTTCTCGCCCCGTTTCGTCCTTTCTCCCCCTCCCTCTTCCCCCCGCCCTTTCGGTCTTGTGTGGTTTAGGTTTGTGTGTTTTAGGTTTGTGTTATGGTGCATATACTTCAAGCAGAGCATGGAAAGTTTGCAGCCTCACAGTAATCTACAGACCTTCACCTTCGGCATGTACCCCAAACAGAGCGTGGACAATTGGCAGCTTTACAGAGGCCTATTCCCCATTAGGCAATGGGGACCGTGATAGAAAAAGCGGCGACTTGCAGTTGCCCGGCATTGGAATGTACTTGGCTTAAACTACTCTCCCGCGAGAGGATGTGTGTCTGCACCCGCTGTTCCCAAGCGGCCTCGAATTCTCAACCATCCAATTTGAGTAGCAGGGGGCACCTGGGCCATGGATAGGTCAGGCGCCAACGAAGACACCTATCCATTGGCTGTGATATGGATTCCGGACGCGGAATCCACGTACCTGCATGTGTTCGAAAGTCGGGAGCCTTTTCGATTTATAGAAATGAGTGTGCAAAGTCGGGCCCTCAGACATTGACATAGACAAGATTTCAGACTGTTCAGTTGGGGCGCTTGCGCTTTCTGACAGTGAACAACAGTGAACAATGAGCAGAGTTACACATGACTTACACCAGTTTCACCCTACATCATTAGCTATGACACTACATGATACAGTATGGCAGATGGGGGTTGGAAACTATGTCAAATGTCAGCAGCAATCGCACTCATCAGTGTGTGTGTGTGTGTGATTGTGTGTGTGTGTGTGATTGTGTGTGTGTGTGTGATTGTGTGTGTGATTGTGTGCGTGTGATTGTGTGCGTGTGATTGTGTGTGTGTGTGTGATTGTGTGTGTGCGTGCGAGCGTGCCTGCGTGCCTGCGTGCCTGCGTGCCTGCGTGCCTGTGTGCCTGCGTGCCAGCATGCCAGCGTGCGTGCGTGCGTGCGTGCGTGCGCGCGTGCGTGTCTGCGTGCATGCGTGCGCCTGCGCCCGTGCGTGTGTGCCCATGCGCATGCGTCTCCCTGTGCATGCATGAGTGCGTGCGCGCTTGCGCGTGTGCATGTGCGTGCGCGGGTGGGTGGGTGAGTAGGTGGATGGGTGGGCGGGTGGGTGGATGGGTGAATAGGTGGATGAGTGGATGGCTGGATGGGTGAATGGCTGGACGGGTGGATGATTGGGCGTGTGTGTGTGTGTGTGTGTGTGTGTGTGTGCATGTGTGTGCATGTGTGTGCATGTGTGTGCATGTGTGTGCA